TCGAGTATTACCACAGGATTTTCCTTCTCCTGGGGATGGTTGACAAGGCTGGAGGAGAAGGGCAAGATTCAGGACCGAGAAGGTGGCTTCTCAAGACTTGCATACCCATGCTTACATTACTATTGAGGGTGTTGTGAAGCAGTGGTTTTAGACACCGTCACGCGAGAGAAAATGGGTACCAATGAAAACCCACTTACTAATATTAGCACGAGCAAGAACGAAGCACACACAGGGTTCTTGTCTCAAAAATATCATATCGCGAGGGTAATGTCTGATAGGAAGCAAGCATCGGGGGGAATGGACGATGAGATATCCTAACTCGGGATGTCTCGTGGGAATGAACGGGGAGGATGGGATGGGTCCAACCAACAAACAAATGGAAGCTGATCGCATCGTGTCACGAAGTCATGGCATGGCTTGGAGCGGGCTGTGTGTAAGTGTAGATAGAGATTTCCTGCCTGTTTTGTACCACCATCACAACCTGTTCATTTCCTATTACCTACCTAGCTACCCCATCCACCGTCAATAAATACGGAGTATACGATACTGCTGTACCTTTAGCTCTGAGCATATTCCGTCTCAACACGCATCCCTTGTGATAATCTGCCCTGTTACCCTTTGCTCGCGCCTTTGATCTCCTGTCATCGAATATGTATGTAGCAGCAGCAGGCTTGGCATTTATATACCGAGTGCGTGTCCTGGTTTTTTTTTTTTGGTTTTTTTTTTTACCTTCTTTTTCACCCTGTGTTCAAGCAAGGTCAGGCGTGATCTCATTGCTCTCTCCCATCTTCCCTTTCTCCCTTGTGGCTACTGATTGACTGACTGTTCTCTCGCACACGGGTCTCATGAAGAATCAAGTGCCCTGCTTGAAAAGCTCCGCGTTGTTTTAATCGCATATAGTTGGTCAGGTGGTCCGACGGGACATTGGTTCATTGCTCGTCGTTCCTTCAGAGCTGCTTTCGTTTCCAGCCTATTGTCGTTTTCGACTTACTCGTGGTAACTGCTGTGTGATCTCGTTTCGTCATGATACAATCTAATCCCCGCTCTAGTAACTCCTCATTTCCTTTCCCTTCCTGTCTGGGCTCCCCTCCATTGTCCCGCCTTAACTGACGCCAGCTACACCGCCGGCGGAAGTGTTGGTCACACCCACGGCTTTCAAGATATCGCCCACACTCCAACCAGGTCCACCCGGGACGATCTCTCGCCATGTCTCATCTGGTACATTGTCCTCGGCTGGTAACAGTGACCAATTCGGACTGGGTTGGTCGGGAGAGAGCCACTTGAAGTCGTCAATCTGGTTCCATTGGTTGGGCACAGCAGAGGGATCTTCTTGCGAGGAGGAAATAAGGTCACTCTGTTTCCACTCAGTTAGCATCAAACGCTGAAAGGAATGGAGGAGGGTTCAAATCGAGGTTTGGATGACCGAGCAACATACGTGGAATTTAGGCAATACAGTGAACCTTATCCCCTCACAATCCTCGATGATCGGTCGGCTTGTACAGTGCAAATAGACATCAACGTTCTGACACTCGTGCATACGAAATTGGCGGCATTTGATCACAAGTACGCTGCTTTTGACGCCTGTGATGTGCGCAGGACCGGAGACTGAACCACAGAGTACAAGGGAGGAGGAAACAGAGGTGATGGTTATACTCGCAAAGGGTGCCGTAGCGGTCGTGGGTACGGATAAATCGACGACACACCCACTGAGCCTTGAGAGTGAGCAAGGTGTTCGCGTGTTTGGTGCCGAGGAGGGCAGGATGATGTGTGTGTTAGATTGATTTGAGATGGAGGTCGAGGTTGCTGTTGTGCATAAGGATGGGCGGTCGGTTTCTTGGAGAGGGTCCGCGGGCGGTGGTTGCGATTTCGTTTCTGTGTTGACCGTTGCGGTCGATTTGACTTCTTTTCTAGGTTCCTCTTTTTCCTCTGAGATTGAGTCCTGTTCATCTTGTGCTCGCTCGTTGGCAGGGGTGTTGATGTAGCTGGGGGTATTGACAAACGAGGCATTGGGGGAAGGGGACAGGTAGCCTGGGACAGCTCGACGTTTCTCCGCTGCCAACTCTGCCGCATCACTAAGGGACAGAGCAGAGGGAGATTTTGATTTGAAAGAGAACTTGGGTTTAGGAGCGTGGGATCTGCGCGTTTCTTCCAATTTCTCTTGCAGGGCCTTAATGGCCTCACCGTATGTTCTCTGATCGTAGGGCGGGATGTATGCTGAAGCGTCCTTGACTTCACCGGATAGTCGCGTGATGCCAGCAAGGCAATGGTCCATAGCATCAGAGCGTTCGCCGCCTATGAGGGCAGTTTCTGCAAGATGGTCCATTTCATCTTGGAGAGCTGTCGCACAGTTCCTTTCGTCAGCCACGGTCTCTTTGGCAGCGTAGAGGGCGCGGTGTACCGGTTATTTCATGCTGGAAGTAGTTGAAGAAACGCTGTTGATGGGAGGGCTCGGCGAGGCGCTCGGCGACCATATGAGCCTGTTGCTGAGGCTCCATAGCGGTAGTTGAAGTCAATGCCAGAAGGATTGAGTATGGGAATCAACAGCGCTGTATTGTATGATTCAGTTGAGGATCTGGAGATCTGCCAAATAGGCTTTAATATAAGCCTGTCGCGTGGGCAAAAGCAAGTAGAAGACAAGGCACTGAGCAGACTGGGGTCGAGATAGCGTGGTGTTGTCCTGACTCATGACGAAACTCTTTGAACTCAGCGGTGCGGGGGAGTCGTGATTGGGCTCGAGGGGCACCTAAGGGCGCAGGAGGGGGGTCACTAGGGGCCAACTGGGGCGCACCCTGGGAGCCAAGTTACAAGTGCCAGGTGGATGCAGTCACCCAGTCGGACACTGATTGGGCGCTTCCCCGGGCTACAGAACCCGAGTTTGCTAGGGCTTGCAGGCCCAAAAGGTTGCAACCCTGTCGCCAATAACATTCTAGGGACCCCCATTTCCGCTTCTGTGAAACCCAATCTCCTCCATCTGCGTCTCTTGCCATCTTCGATGCTCGCATAGATGATACTGTTTCTGATCCTCCATTCCATCCTTTTCCTCGTTTCTGACCACTGTGGTCCGACTCCCACTCGCTTCTTTCCTGCGTATGATCCTACCCTCTTTTACACGTCACGCCTCAACAGTTGCCAAGAAGACTTTAAGTCGCGGCTCTGGTCGTTATGAGATAACCAGCCAACGGCTGTGTGGTGAGTTGTTAAGCGATTGAGGTCTGCACTCTTTTCGTCTTTGCTGATGCCCGGCAGACGATATCCTCGTCCGCCTTCGTACCGGTCTCCCTGCTCCAAACACTTGCGACATCATCGATATAAACCCCGGGCGAGGACTTTGGTCCCAAAGTCTCCATCGTCTCCTTCAGCCTCGACGACATGTCCTTGTCGAATCTGATCTGGACAGATATGCGGAGCATCTCCAACCCTTGTTGAAGAGCCACGGCTCAAGATATCGGCACGCCACCATCCTCGAAGATGTATTTGATCCTGAGAAACGACTGTTGACTCGATATGACACGGAAAAAGCTGGTCCTGTGGGAAAGCTCCCTGAATACAATGGATCCCTGTTGATGACGGTCAACCTCTCTGGTGCAAAAATCAGCATCGGCGGATATATGGGGTCCCTCAGCAGAAAATTCTTCGACGAGCTCTACCTGTCGCTTTTGTCAGGTCCAAGCGCTGGTTTCTTTCGTTATGGTCTGATCCGCGTTTTGGCATGGATTCCTGATCATGAAAAGAACTCTTATATCCCGCGAACCGTTCACGCACGTCATAAGCAGACCGTCATGCTTGAGGCAACCACGGACATTGCCGAGGTCGCTGGGGCACCAGCGGAGACCAAATCGACAAGATATAGGAAATGGACCGACCTCGAATTGGAAGAATTTGCAATCATCGATGCTAGAGCCAAAAAGATTTCAGGATATGAGATACCCAAATTGAGACTCGACACACCAGCACCACGCGAGCTGCTCAGTATCGAGCCTACGCCTCGAAATCTGCGAAAGGCACACTTTACCTCGGACGCAGAGTGGGTGCCAAGACTCCTGCAGTTAGACAGCCATATAAGAAAGAAGTATCCCCATTGGTATCGGCGCTATGCTTCAGGGCAATCCATTCGCAAACTTGGCCTCAAAACACCGCTTCAGAAGGAATGGGGGGAGCTGTTAAGGCGGGCAAACACCACACACAAGACTCACATGAAAGCAGTTGAACTGGTCAACCAAGAAAGACAACTGATATCAGAATGGAAGCTCGAGATACGCCAGGCGAAGAATAACTCGCTGAATCCCGACACTGAACGATCACTTCGAAATCGCGCCGAAGCTATTAAAGAAAATCTCAAGACCTTGAATCGAACAAACAGAATCTTCGCAGAAAAGGCCATCGACGACTGCCGAGCTTGGGACCTGTCACCGCCAATTCTGGCCTGGAATCGACGGGAGACTCACCCTTTGATCGTGCACGATGACGAATTTGATGCTCCTAGTCGGAATAATCGGCATATGACCCTTCTGGATGTGATTCCGCGAGCTGATTTGATTTCCAGAATCGACACATACGATAAGATGGTATGCTTCCGCTTCGTTGTAGCCAGTCTCTCGCTATATTTTTCCAAGAGCGTGGCTGAAGCGCTGAAGTCGCTGGTCCATGAGGGGTTGGATGACTTCGTCAAGACTATCCCGGGGATTCATGATCCCACCAAGGGAGGTTGGTATGATTTGACTACGTTAAGAGTGAGAGTTTTGCCAACCGATATGTTTGTGGAGATCGGGTTGGCATATGAAAGGTGGCCATTTCGCATGACTACCGAAGCTATTCTCATGGCAACTGCAGATCCAACGGCCGGATATAGTGGCCAGGAGGATGATTTGAAATGATCCATCAATTGGTGGCTGTATTAAACATATTGTATAGTATTTGCGAGGATACTGTCGATTTAGGCGATGAACAATGGTTCACAGAGGGGCATTGGCTCCCTTCCATGTCTGAAGAGAGTGATGGTCTCATCCAAATAGCTGGGCCAACACATCACTTGTGCTCATAACCTTTGCGAACTCGCCCTCGAGGCTAGCAAGATGGACCTTCTGCACCGTCTCGGCATCGAAACCACCTTTGCTAAAGCACGCAGTAGCATCGCTTACGATGACGATCTTGCCTTGTTTACCTTCCTTCTGTGGCCCTTGTCCTTTGACAACACCCAGATCCTTGGCCCAGCGCACGCTGGTCGACACGCAGTGGTCCGTCGCGATCCCCACGACGACCAACTGCGCGATGTGGCTGCGTTCCAGGATCGGCTGCAGGGCCACGTTGCCAAAGGCCGTGTTTGTGGATTTTGAGAGCACGTGCTCAATCTGACCAGAGGACGACGGCGACACCGGTGCCGCGCACGGCATGAACAATATCCCGTCCTTCTGTGTCGTTCCGGACGCGTGTAGTGGAGACAGTGGGTTTGTGGATGAGTGGTATACATGCACGATTTCTATCGGGAAGGGGCCTCTTGATGATTCGTCGGCCTCGTTGCTGGGGGTGTCACCATTAGCGGCGGTGTCTTGAGAAGAAGTCGGCTTGGAATCTCGACTTTCGCTGGTGCCCGTGCTTGTCTTGTTATACTCTCTGCATGCGGCCAGGAGAGAAATGATATTTTCCTCGAAATCGGGAGTCGACCGCTCGGTCCCGAAGTAGCCGTTGCTGGTGTTCAGGCCGCGCTGGATGTCAATTAGGAGGAGCGCGGTGCGGGTTCCCGACGCTGGTGAGAGGTAGGCTCCAAGTGGGTTTGCGTTTGTTGATGGAAGGGACATTTTCCCCCCAGAGTCATGCGAGATATCTGATGATGGTAGTTGTGATGGTACTGAGGATGCCAATGTCTCTGGCTTGAAGTGAGTTCAAGAGACGTCCTCAAACGCAAACAGATCCACGGATCCAGATCTTCTTATATACCTCGACGACAGTTCATTCATCTCTTTAATACTGCGAAGCAGGCGCAAGTTTCGACCACCTCATTGGCGCAAAACAAAAGGGTTACATACATACCAGATACTAAACTGCGGATTTGCAAATATGGCGTCTGCCTAGAAGAGAAACCCGCGCGGGGCCAATGAGAGGCGCAGGGTGTGCTTGTACGAGTACGGTTGTAGCAAGGCGTAAAGACATTAGGGAGCCATGTATAGTGTGGTGTATTGTATTGTGGTGTAGTGGTGTTGTATCAGACAAGCAGATCAAAGGTAATAATCAGGGTACCTCGCTCCGTAGACAGGCAAGCTCGCTGGGAGGCGGAAGGAACGTGCGAAGATGGAAAGATACCCGAGAGAGTATCACGTGCGACACGTGATATCAACCCCCCACCTTCCCCTCGTGACTTAACGGAGCACTTGTACACCGTTCTCCGTCCGTCACAGAAATCATTGCTAACGTTTCGAGGTTTTCAATCATCATCACAGAGCAGCGCTCAGAGAGAAGAAGCTCTCCTGCCCATCGAAAACGTAGGTTTCAACCTCGTCCCCCAGCTCCAACTCATCCTCAAGGTCCACCTCCACAACATCGTCAGTTTGACCCCGAAAGGTCAAGTAACTCTTCCACTTGCTCGGTCCGAGTGTTGGATCGTCCATTTTGCTGCTCGAATACCACTTGAAGCGCAGCTTGCGGTACTGAACTGCACAGATCTGCTCCCCGGCAGCCACGAATCGTTTTTGCTGTCCTTGTTGCTGCTGACGATGTCCTCCGACAGACGGGTCGATCATGTCGCCTAGCGGTATCACCACGCCTGCTGCGGCCAGTGCTTCTGCTATGGGTAGACTGATGTGGGCCGTCATCTTCGCGTCTAAACTGCCACCCTCAACCACTTGCGCGTCGAACATGGTGTGGTACCCGACCACTAGATAGACGTCATCGCCTTGATTGTTTGCCTGTTCGATCCATTTGCGGGTCGCTTCATTCTCAAGAGCCTGGTTGAACCACTTCCCAGAATTACTGATTTGATGTGTAACAACACGGTCCGCCGTGATGGACGTCAATGTCTTCTTCTGCTTCGAGCGGGAGATCGAAACCAGACGCGTCAAGGTGCTGCTAAATCCCTTTTCCAATGACTTGGAATCATGACCGATGAAATCCGAGTGTGACTTGACAACCACCTCGATATCCATGGGCGAAATCGGGTCAAGAAAGTCCGACTGTGGATCAGCAACGTTTAAAACAATCCTGCCAAGCTTGATAGCCTCAACAGGGAGAAAAGTTTGTGGGATCAAAACACTCTGATGCATTGTGATCGGGTTGAGTGAGAGAGAACTGCTTGTGGCTTAGAGATATCTTCGTAGGAGCCTGGAATATCGATCATCGTGTGAGATGAGCAGGATGATAAGAGTCGAGATCCAGGTATGAGTCGTTGTGACCCAGTTCGAAGCTATGGAACAATGGCGACTCAGCTGCTGCGCCCAGGAACCGCTCAAGAAAACCAAGACCGGACTTGAACAAGGTCTAGATTCAGCATTTGTGCTCGCTGCTAGCTATTTGCGGAAGCGGGATCTCGCCCAGGCGGGAGGGAGGGCAACGGACATGATTATTGGCGACCTGGTTCTTGATGATTCGAGCCAAGGATGCTCAAAACTCTATCACGAACACGCACAGAGTCTCGTCTCACGACTTTGCCGGTGTCTGCCGCTGTCCATACAAGTATGGGTAACTCCACGAGGTCGCGGGAGTGGAACCTTCTACCAACAGGCCCGATGTCAAGTAAAGTCCAGACCTGCAGAAGTTCGAGTTCTCTAATCAGCAATCTTCAGTCAGAGACGGCGCCGGAAACCTTCAAGAATTCAAGTGGCCTGTACAAAGCTTGCCAGGTAAAAGCACATGGATAGTAAAGCAGATGAGGCTGTGAGCCTTGCGCTCGCGCACCCTAATCCGTTTGACCGCCCAAAAGTTTTGACAAGTCTAAGTGTCGAGCTTGCGAATCGATTTGAGCTCACAGGACAGTTGGAAGACCTGAATGGCTCCATCAAGGCTTCCAAGGAAGCAATTTGTCTAGGCCAGGCAGAAGACTCCCAGCAAGCAATCTGGTTCACCAATCTGAGTGTCAACCTAGGAAGGCGATATGATCGCTTAGGACAACAGGAAGATCTAGAGGAAGCGGTCAAAGCCGCTGAGGAAGCTGTGAGACTCAGTCCCACCGAACATCCAAGCCGGCTGTTCTGCCTTTACAATCTCAGCAACAATTATGGAAGACGTTATAGTTCTTGTGGGCGAATGGAGGATTTGAAAAATGCAATCTATAGGGCAGAGGAAGCAGTACAGATCGTGGCACCCGACGATCCAATGTTGGCCTTGGTTATAAATCACCTAGGGCGTGTGCTTCATGTTCGATACGAGCGAACAGGGGAGCTGGAAGACCTTCAAATGGCCATCCGACACGCAGAGAAAGCGGTGCAGCTTCTTCCCAGCGATCATACGCATCTACCTCAGTGCTTATCTGAACTAAGCGGAAACCTTGGCCTGCGATACCAGCGGACTGGAGCTCTGGAAGATCTAGATCAGGCAATCCTCAGAGTAAAACAGGCCCTGCAGCTCACACTTGACAAGGATCCGCAGCAAGCACAGCAAGCTCGATATTTGAACAGCCTAGGCAACCTGCTAGAAAGCAAATACGAGCGTACCGGCCAGTTGCAAGACTTGGAAGCCGCTATTAACAAAGCAGAAATGGCATCAAAGCTGCTACCGAAAGGCCATCCGTTCCGGGCCTTGTACCTCAGCAACTTAAGCAACAAATTCGCCATGCGATATGAGCGAACTGACCGACTGGAAGACCTAGAAGAAGCTATTTCTAATGCCCGAGAAGCGGTGCAACTGCCTCGAATTGATGAACACGGCCTCGCAACATCGCTTAGCAACCTAGGCGTGCAGCTTCGATGGCGGTACGAGCGCATCGGCAACATGGAAGACTTGGAAGATGCGGTAGCGAAAGCACGAGAAGCAGTACACTCGACTCCACCTGGTCATTCTGATCGGGCTCCGATGATGAGCAACCTAGGCTTGGTGCTTCAACGACGGTATATGAGCACCGGGCAGATGTCAGATCTCATAGAAGCCATTGACATCGAGCAAATCGCCGTGCTTCTTACTCCATCCGATCATGCCAGCCTTGCAGGCAGGCTCATCAACCTGAGTACGAAGTTTCAGATGCTGTTTGATCGAACTAAGCAAACAGAATACCTTGATGAGGCTATCAAAAAGGCAGAACGAGGAGTACAAGCAACACCGTCAGATCATCCAGACCTGGCCATGTACCTGAACATACTAGGCCGCCAGCAATACAAGTCACCGAACCCATTGCACCATACAAGGGCGCTCGACTCATTCCTCCGGTCCTGGAGTTGTGTCAATGGTATCCCTTCAAAACGGCTCCCCTCTGCAGTAGCCGCAATCAATCTACTTCAGGACCAGCGAGATTGGAGCCGAGCTAGTGAGATAGCGAATGATGCTATCAGGGTTTTGCCCATCGTCAACAATCGGTCTCTGGCTCGAGACGATCAACAGCACGCATTATCTATGTTTGCCGGGCTCGCCGCGACAGCCTGTTCTTTATCTGTGCAAGCAGGGCGAGATGTGAGTGAGGCGCTAGAAATCCTGGAGCTCGGACGTGGCGCGATCTTGGGACTTTTGATCGACGATCGTCGTGATATCTCGCAACTTTTACTGTCATGTCCAGAAGAAGCGAAACTTTATGAAAGTTTGCGGGCAGAGGTCAATGTGCCGGCGGGAGATCCACTTGATGCTGGAAGACAGCAGCAGAAAGCCAAATCTCGACAGGACGCTGTGGTGAATCTGGAGAAGTGTATCCATCGCATTAGGGCTATTCCCGGTCACGAAAGGTTCTTGCGAGGCGCTACTGCACAGGAATTGCAACAGCAGGCCAAAACTGGGCCTATTACGATAGTCAACGTCACGCAGCTACGTGCTGATGCTATACTCGTTTCCCAGTCAGGCATCAACCTGGTACCTTTGCCAGACTTTTCGTTCCAGAGTATTCAAGGTTGGATTGACCTGGGTCTTACTAACTTCACTCGAAGTGACTATGGAAAGAAGAACAAACTTTATCGGGCATTCCTGGCGTGGATCTGGAAGGCATGTGTCCAAGTGGTGCTGGAAAAGCTGACGGACGAGCCACAGACCGGGGTGTCCAAAAGCCGTTGTCGTCGCATATGGTGGATTGGCACAGGCGCCGCTTGTACGATTCCTTTTCATGCCGCTGGAGATCATTCCCCCGGCTCTGCACAAAATACGTTCAGCCATGCGATTTCTTCCTACACGCCAACAATCAAGGCGCTCGATTTTGCTCGAGAACGAATTGCAACAACCCGTGTGGCTGACATGACTGTTGCTGCTGCTACTGTCAACAAGAAAGCCCTCGCTATAGTGTTGATGCCGGAAACTCCAGGAGAAGCCGATCTACCGTACGTCACTGGCGAAGCAAGCAACATCCACGCATCAGCCGCATCTGCTTTCAGTATACAGGAGCTCCGTTGCCCCGATGCCGACGAGGTGCGTGAGCGGCTGCAAGAGTGTCACATCTTCCATTACGCTGGACACGGCCAGTCCAACCCTAGGGACCCCTCGGACGGGTGCTTGGTGTTGCAGAAACGAGCGCAGCCACTCGGCAAGCCGATCCAGGATCGTCTTACGGTTCGACAAATTTCAGATATGTATCTGCCCCATGCCCATCTCGCCTATCTCTCTGCTTGCTCGACCGCGGAGAACAGCGCGACGGGACTGTTGGACGAAGTCATCCACCTGGTAAGCGGCTTTCAAGTGGCCGGGTTTGGACATGTGATTGGGTCCATGTGGCCGTCGGCGGACGGCGTATGCGCAGAGGTGGCGCGAGATTTTTACGCGAAGCTTTCCCAGGAAGACAAACTGTTGAGCAGAGATGGAAGTATACCAGCGGCGTTGCAGGCGGCTGTGATCAAGGCGAGGGAGAGATACAGTGGGCAGCCTTTGCTTTGGGCCCAGTATGTTCATTTCGGAGCTTGAGAGCCGGGCTAGACAACAGGCTTTTGTGCAAGAAGTCCAATGTGATTTACTATTCAGCGCCTCCTTAATATATAATATATATACCATCTTACATTACGCCCTAGCACCATTGTTTAGATATAACAGATCCCGTCCGAATCGAGAGAAGAGGAGAATCCCCAGTCAGAACGCATATGCTCAATGGCCTACGCTGAAGCAATTGCAAGCCTGCATAATACCGTGGGAGAGGATTGGATTAGTCCTTCCAGGTTTCGGTGGGAAGGTATATCTCCTCAAGGTTCTCATCATTCACTAAAACTATACCATAGCAAAGCCTACCATTCTTGGCGAACAAGTCTTTCATTCGCCGGTAACCCAGGTATGTGCCTTGCGAGGTACATATGACACAAACATATATATGATGGGAGCGACCGACCCAACGTTGGGCGCTGCGACAAACAATCTGCGACTAAGGATGCGAGCTATGTACAGCTCAGTGTCCTGCCCAGGGGTTTTGGGTTCTGACAAGAACAACCAGCTCAACGTTGTTCTCCCCCGCAACGACCAGTCGCTGAATATCGCAGAAATAAATCTTCTGGGTCGGACAAGTAGCTGTCAGCTCAGCCGGCAAATTGTGCCTGAAAGCTTTGCGATCCAGCTTTCCCCCCCGATTCGAGCACAGCGCTTCTTTCTGTGCGGGACGCAGTATACCGGCCAGCTCTCGTATATGAAGGAGTGGTGCAGATTTGGGCCAGCCGAGAGAGCTCAACCGGTAGATAGGTATGTAGTATTGTAAAGCACCCGTCGCCATTCTTGGAGCTGCATGGACGTTAGACGGGAATCTTCCAAATGGCGGGAAGTGATTTGAAAGAGTCTCACACTGCAAATGGTGGGATTGGCATGCCACTGACAACAGCGAGCTATGTGAAGTGACACACTATTCTCGGAATACCTGTTACCTCTTGCAGTCAATACAATGCTCGTGAAACCTCGTCCAGAAAGGGACATCGCGGCAGTTAACAAGAAAGCGCAGGACGGCGAATGGAAAAAGAAAAGGTCCATCAGAACATCCTCCTCGGCCTTTAGCCGCGGTGTTTTGGAAACAAACTCGAACACAATGGGGCTCAAAGGAGGAAGTGAGAGATGGGCATTTCTTCTTTCCGCCTCGACACAAAATGCATCAAATACCGCCAAAGACTATAAATATAACAAAAGCACGAACGTTCAGGACTGGGCCAATGTACAGTTTTCACAACATTTTGCTCTGGCTCCAGATTCGACAGCTCAGACAACGCCGCTGGCTCCCCACCTGTAGAAAATGGCGGTGCACCACCACGACTCGTGAGTGGCTGACGTGAGGTCTGCCTTGTCCACAAGGCCCTGGAAAGAGACCAATCGGCAGGCTTGGACTTGGTATATGGCTTTTATAGATGAATTGGGTGAATCAAACCACAGGTATGCACAGCATGGGCGGGCACGTATATAAACAGAGCGAAACACACGCAGGACTCACCTTCGATGGTAGCAGGCAAGCAATCCGTTCCTTCTGGTCCCAGCACTCGTTCCGAAACTGTAAAAAAAGCCCCTCGTTTTGTTGGAAGATCCTGCCATCATGCCAACCTTCAAGAATCTGCTTCCATCTCTTCTCCTTCTCCCATCGTTGGGTCTCGCGTCTCCCTTCCCGAATCCAGCCGCTACTCCCCAGTTCTCGGACGACACGGATCAAATCACCTGCTTCGAGCCTGGAAGCGGACTCGTGACCACTCAACAGGCCAACGATCTCGTTAACGAGTTCGATCGCCTTATCTGCCAATCGAATCCGAGCGCACCCATATCGCTTAACCCATTAGAGGGTGTCTCGGTGGATGACCCGTCGGGAACAATCATCTTCCAAAATACCTTGAATATGGTGGCAACTCCGCCGAGCTGTGGAGAGGTGGTGAACGATTTTCAGAAGCTGTTGGCTCAGTGCTTCACTGGGCAGGGTAGCTATGGTGGCGTATTGATCGAGACTGCTGGTGGTGGGAGGACCTCGTATGTCATCAAGTCGCCATGAACCCAAAGAAGACGAAATGTTTGAGAAGTGAGCAAGCGCACGCGGAAGGGGACAAGGCTAGATAGATGATGAACAGCCAAGGCCACGGTCGGGAGAGGTCAGATTCATTTTGAGCCATCCGAGTACTGAGATGAACCATCGTCAGAGCATGGATAATATGACTTCTCAAAATGCCCTGAATGATTTATCTGCAGAATGAAGGTTGCGAAAGGGGCATATCGTTCACTTGCAGTAATATTGAAGGCCAAGAATGTCGGGGCCATAGTCGGCGATTAATGAATCAGGCGACGACAAGACGGTGTCCGCGCGTCCTTTCTTAAAACTTGGATGTCGTCTTAATCTTGGCGAGATGCAGATATGCCTCGTGGCTCCATGTAGCAGGAGGAAAATGCATCAGCCTCGTGGAAAAAGACATCTGGTGGATGGTGAAGGTGAGATATAGTGAGCGAAGGGCTTATGGCCAAGTGCCCGCCCGCCCAGCCTATTGCTGTTACTCCGCATTCATCAGGAAATGGAGTGATGCCTGCCCTATGCGGCCGGAGCTGGCGACAAGGCCGACCCCTGGAGCAAACAAGGCTTTGTCTTTCAGAAAATGCACCATCGTCGCGAGGTTTTGACGAGCATTGACTCTTGAATGTCCACAAAGTCCATCCCCTTCGAGTTCAAGAAAGATTTGGCTTGGTAAAAGTCGTTCGTCCCTTGGGGCATCAGTCGTTCATACCAATATTCCTCCGTACAAACAATAAGCCCTGCGAGGTAACGCGCTGACACCGGGTGGCGCTCGTCTTCCCTACATTCTTTATTGCTGAGGTCGACCATGGGCATAGTTAACGCAGCAAAGGCTTCTGATCGCCTTGTAGGGTGCTCAGCCAGGAATAAAACACAGTTACCATTCCAAAAGCTCGTCATATCGACCCACTTGTCATGATCCTGGTCCTTGAAAACGATGTATCTCTGCGACGAATTGGGTAACCGAAAGCGCAAATGGGTCTTTTCGACGGTAGGAACCGGCAAATCTTTTAGCAAGATTGCGTCGATGCCATTGACAAGAAGCCCCTCTGGTGTTGGGTGTGCTGGTGGATAATCCTCAGAGGGCGTGAGGAGCCTTGTCCCCGGGTGGAGCAGATCGCTAGGAGCCCACCGAAATCCATCAACCTTTAAACGAGGCCCAAGCATCCACAGGACACTGGCAGGCAATTTTTCCTGGTTCGCCCAGAATGTCTGCATTTTGACATCATCCTGAGCCTCAAGAACCGCGCTCAAACCGGAACCTAGCAGGATTGAGGCGCATACCGTAACGTCCATCGGTCTCGATGTGGATCGAAATTGGAGGGTAGTCAAAAAGGTCAGAAATGGATATTTTTCATGCTTTACGGTCTGAAGCGACAATTTAGCCTGGTCAATGGAGATCGCGGCGTATAGTCCGAGAAGTTGAGAAACGAGGCCAGCGGCATCCGAAGCCATGACCGTTAATACGTGTTCCCTTGGGGTGTATGGGACTATGGTGTCGGCAAACTGAAATCTCAGATCCTCCGCCAAAGTCGCTTCCTGCATCGTCCAGAGTCGTAACATCCACTTGCAGCAAAAGATAGAAAATAACACTTGGTCTGGTGAAGATGGAAGGTTGTGTGAAAGGAGCTCCTCTGACAAGACAAGTACTTGACTTGCCGACGAGTAGACCTTGGCCATGCGCAGAATTGCCAGATGCCTCAGAGGTTCCTCCACGGGCACGCACAAGGTGTCTATCCAGAAGGGTGAGCCTTGGTTCGTTGTCAAAGCGGTGACATAGTGTTGGATTGAGCGAAGTTGACACATGGGCAATGAATTCTGCCTTGGATTTCCCCTACCATCAGACCATACGTGAGAGATTGCAACGTATCGCAAGCCTGGTTTGAAGGGAATTATGTTGATCTTCTCGCCCTGGAAACCCACAAGAGGAAACTGTTCGTTCTCGAAGGCCGCCACCAAGTCGGAGTTCGGCATTGCCTGATGCTGACAAGCGCATTCCGGCTGCATGTGGTCACACCCATGCCTTTTACAGTCGCAGTGTTCGGACACATGACGGGTCTGATAGTTACCGACATCGACATTGGAAGCGACACAAGCAAACCGTGTAGTACAGTTTTCATGGTCAAACCCATCCTTCAAGGAAGGGAGAAGGCTGGCGAAGTATAAGCCTTCAAGGCCGAGTCTTGAGCCCACCCGATGCACGATGCTGGGACACCAGCCATCCTCAGATATCAGTTTTCTCTCCAGCAGCTGACACGGTACCGAAATTTGCGAATTGGCAAGGACATCCTCAGTATCATCGAGCCAAAGTCTGCGGTACCTGTCGAGCGTTTCGACCAAGGTAGACAGAGCCAGACATACCGAAAGCGGCAAGAATTGCATGGTAGCTTTGTCCGAGTTCCGATCCAGCTTCTGCAATATCCATTTCGCCTCTTGTAAGCAGCGGTCGAACTGGTCTGCCCATTTCAAGTTGTTGTTCAACTCGTCACGTCTTGCCATGAATTCTCTGAAGAGTGCTCCCGCAGTGACGTACCGATTCGAGGCGCTCAGATTATGTCGCGCCGCATTGGCGCCAGGCCCTTCAACAGAGCCCTCTTGCCTAGAGACGGGCCTGCTCAATGCCTCCTGCCAAATCCCGTAGAAAATCCATGTTTGAAGGAACGAACCCGCACAAAGGAGAATCACTTCCTGCGTGCTTGACATGCGAACAAATCTGCCATCTTCCTGCGACACCGAGGTATAATAGTTCTCCCAATCTTTGCGAGCGGCAGTGATCTTTCCTCGAAATAAGGCGTCAACGTTCCAGCCTTGACGCTCGTCATAGCCTAAGAATCCCTGATTATCGAAGTCCGGGCCGCCGAGGTCGGGGACGAGCCAATGCGACTCGACGCCATCTGGCAGTGGCAGGATATCCATGCTATTTGTGATATGCGAACGAATGCTGTGTCTAGAAGGAGAAAGAGAATGCTGTTGGTTGAGGATGATGTTTCCAGCCTCACACCAAGAAGAGACTTGGCAGGCCAATAGTACTGCTGGTACCTGCCCAGAGCCACAGCTCCTTGGCCGCCCAAGCGAGGAGCCGCCGGTAAACCTCTTTGTAGGGAGTTGGCCTCGACGCATCTTCAGCCTTGCAAACCCTCTTCGTCGGGATTTCCTGCGTCGCACGGCACCAGATTTAGGCACAAAGAAAATTGGATAATGTTACTCCTAGCCTCAAACAGGCTACGCCACCTGATGCATAGCAAGAGCCCTTTGCCCGTGTTTGCCCAACGCCTGTCTTAATAGAACGTGTCGAGGCCCTGAAAACGGAATTGAAATCCGGTAAATATATGCACGGGTAAGCCCGCTCTCCCTCGAATGGGTTTCCTTGTCCATTAAAGCTTCTGAGAACCCATTTCACAGAACACAGCCAAGCCCTTGGAGTAGGCAAAGTCAACTCACAATTTCATACACGATGAAATGGTTGAAAAGTGCTTTTCAAGCCACATCATTTACCTTCTCATGGGAACACTGACAGGGCCCCGACAGGCTTCAGTTTCGCCTCGATGCTATGCCACGGCCAACTTCTCAGAGTGGAGAGATTTCTGTAACACTTGCGATCTGATAGTCATAGCCTTTTCCTTGGCTATCACATCGAGGACCATGGTTGAAGAGAACCACACTGAATCTGCGTTTAGCCTACGAACATTCGAATTGGAAGGAACATCGGCCATAGCTGCGGCTTCACCTGAAATCTGGCTTGTTTTGGATCCAATATGATAGTATAGGGCTTCTTTTGCAGAAGGAATGGTGCTTCCTTCGAACATTTTGTTGTGTTTGAACGATAATACGAAGCCATTTTATAGGTCTCTGCATGGCTACGTCGACGTCCGCGCCAAGAAGGCCTATTGATCCTATATTGACAGGATACCTCGTTTGTTTGCAACAATATTGCTATTTAGTATCACCAAATCTTTTCGACCAGAGGGATTTTCGTGCAGTGTGTTGCGAACGAAAAATGCCCAACCTCTCGTACCCTCGCACACACCGTCGTAGCGCGCGACTCGCCTCTGAGATGATTTGGCCAGAGCTCAGCGCGACAATTTACGTATTCATATACTAGGGTTCCGATATGGCCGTCGTTAGTGGCGTATATACATCTCAGCCGACTTGAGTCTTTGAAACCTGAAGGTAACAGTGAGAGGACAGGCTTGACTTCGCGTGAATCGGACCACGCAAACGATATTTGGTCATCGGATTGCTTCATGATCTCTTCTTGCAAACAGCGGAAAGCATTGGCTCCTTCTCCGTCCAGCATAGGCATGTGAATGTTGAATATACCCAGAAGGTCATCGGCACGATCCTCCGGTCGGGTTGTTATCTCGCCAGCAGCCCAAGACATCCGCTGTGCGATGGAATACTGGAAAGGCTTTGAGCGCTTGGACGGGATGTCTCCATCGATCGAGTGAGTTCTTCGAGGAGTTGAACAATATCCGCCTTGCAGCCGAGTGGCGTCCATCTGTTGTTGTAGAATATAAGGTTGGCCGATGCGATTAACTCCTGCAAAGTCCAACCGCACGAGATCCCAGCGCTGGATTGGGAGCGCACCCGGTTTTCATCTGAGATGAGATCGTCGACATGCACATCGTAAAGGAACATGCAACACTCTTGTGCCTATTCATACCAGGCATACATGTTATTGACTGAGTTTGTCAGCTCCGCACTCCTGCTTTTGTCGATCCAACTCTGTTGCTCACCAGAGATCTATGTGAATCTTTTTGTTCAAGCACAATAACAAGCTAGCCTCGTCTGACTGAAAACGTGCTCGCAACCACAAGCCCTGGAATCACTCCTTCGCAATCCAACTACGCAATAATTGCGCTGTCTTCTCGTGACCGAATTCAGAAGCAGCTTCCAGCGCGCTGCCATATTTCCAAGTCTTTCGTGCTGACCTTGTAGCTTTCGCACATGGGTGCTTAACACATATGGTGGTTGGTTTAGGCGCCCGAGATCCTCAAACCGCCCGTTTCGAAATGCCTTTTTGAGGTCATACTGCACTACCCCTCCAAACGTGCCTGTGGGTTGACTGACGACCACATCGCCGAGCCGTATATCATCTTCACCTCCAATACCAGGAACACCGCCTCCGATGCCTCCTAATAAGCCAAACCGGATTGAAGGGAAGTCATTCAGAATTTGATTCGCCACGGTAGACGCCGCATTGTTCCCAATTTCGGGTAAAACGGCTATTACCACGTTGTGTCCACCTATTCTGCCAAATGTGTAGGCATTGAGATCGCGAGTCGCAGAAGAGGATCGTGAATTTCGTCGAGCACGCCTTCAACAGCGGCCACTTCGAAGCCTATAGGGCAGATACACGCAACTGTGTAGTCGGCATATGTCCTTGTGCAAGCCATGAGACGGTGTGCTTGGAATGAATGCTTTCAGCAGTATGCATCCTCGTAGTAAAAAGAGGGGAGCAAGGCCAATTTCTAAATGTCAGGGCAGTGCAGGCAGAAATACGTGGCTGCTGCTGCCTAATCGAGTGCGGGACTCTCGTTGGGAGAGACACAGCCACAGAACCCACTGGGTTAGGGTTCTCAGTAACAAGCCCTTGATAGTATGAACTGGTTATGGACAACGCAATGTATGAGCAGTCGGTGTTACTAAGAACTGTCGGGTTCAATAGCTAACATGAATTGGCTCCGGAGGGAGTGTAATCTATCTGGGGTAATGAAGGTGTACATATAATGCGTGCGCTCTGTGCGCTCTGCACGCTTTGTGCCGTCTGTGCCAACAGGGCCGACAGGGCCAGCAGGGCCAGCAGGGCATATCACGTGCCCCAGCCTTGTTCTCCTGTGGATCCTTCCATGTGTCCAATGAGTGTGGTGAGTCGTGCCTTTGCGATTCGTGACCGGTCTCTCTCAAGGCTGTGTCTAACAAAAATGTAGGACTTTCAAAAATTGAGTTGTCGTCGAGATTCTTAGCTGTTTATATAGGAAGGTTGAACGATGAATATTTAAAAAGACGACGTAATTACTAAGATTATCTATTCAATCGCTTACCTATAACGTCATTTAAACGGCTCGAACGAAATCTCGGCCTTTTTCACGTATCCAGCCCCAGACTCGTTTATCGCAACATTCTTTGAATTTTGTGATTGGCCGGCGCTTTAAGCCATAGCCTAGCCAATCAGGGCGTAGCCCCGATATCGGGTCTGAGGACTGAGACAAAATTCTTATGGGGAAAGACCCAAATGGATTGTCCCCAAAATCTTTTATTTATGGGGTCTGGTCTCCAATTGCTTTGACAGCGAGACAGTTGTTGGCATATCCAAGATGTCTTCGCAACAAATTTTCGAGCATCATTTGGTACAGCCTATACGACATGTTTCTCGGCTAGGTTGCCCCTCCCATTAATGCTCCCATTCCCTGGAGTGGGACTGGATGAAGAGGCCAAAATGTTACTCCATCCCTAGCTCGCTAGAAACTGGGAATCGGGGCCACATTGTAGGCGCCCCACGCTGTTCATGGCACCTTGGGCACCTTAGACCAGCTTGGGATTGCGCGGCCGCAGTTCAAAAAATGGCTTAGCCATGGCTCAGGTTACAAGACGGATACTCGGGTCTGGAAACGGAAATGAACTTTGGTCAGGTCAGATTCGGCTCCCTTGCCCATAGCAAAAGTGGCAGGAGGGAATGAATGCCTGGGCAAGGTTTTCCTCTGGACAATGCCCGTCGGTTACGGCGAGAAATTCACCCGCTTTTATAGGGAATTGTCTGCAGGTCTGACATTCCTAGATGCAGCAGGTATCATCTATCCAGCCATGGTCGACGCTTTGCACAGAAGTTAATTGGCAACATGCTTGCATTTTCAAATATCCTTTCCGGCCCTTTGCACGCCCAAGGTCGAAGTCTCGGTAGGTAACTTCCTCATGTTCCCATCGGCGAGACAGAATTGCATAGACCGGTGAGTCGCCAGAGAATTCGTCGAGTTCGATAGTCCAAGAGTTCAGCAGCCTCACAGTGTCTTGAGCTGACAGTCAAGACGCTTTGCACAGGTCGTTTTACCTACCTTTGAACGAGGTTACCATAGCGTCAGATAATTGTAATATCCAGTTTTGTCCAGCCTTGTCAGGGCTGCCGGATGCTTTGCTGACAACGAGAGCGAGGTCTTGTATAGCAGAGTAGGTTGGCGCATGCCCTTGTGCCTCAAGATCAAGTATCCATCTCTTCAATAGATCTCCCTGTGTATTCGACAGTAGCTACTGTGGTTCGTGGGAGAAGGTGGCCGATTGAATGTGCCATTAAATCCGCGACTTAAGGCGGAATAGTGAACGTTGTTCGCGGCCGCGGCAGTCCGAATAGAGGGATATCGGCGTGATTGATAGTCGTAATTGATGGGCGGTAATGGCTTGCTGGATCATAGCCTCTCGACCTGAGGCCATTTGAGCAGGGTTGAGGTTGAGGGCGAATTGGTCGAGTAGTTGTTGGTTGTCGGTGGTAAGGCCGTGGAGGAGTTTGTCAACTCGCGTGTGTTGCACGTATAACTGCCCACTCAGCGTCAACACGCCAATATTTAGCTCCGTGTCCCAATGATGTTTCATGAAAGGCTCAAGACGGTATTTAATATGACATTATAAGAATAAGTTACTCCATTTCAATTGGCTAAGATTAATTATTAGTTCCTACAGAGCCTTTTTAAGGCTCTGTATGAGAGGAAGGAGATAGTAAAAGAATAGAGCTGGCGAAGTGGCAGCCTGGTCGCGACTGAACCGACGTCGAGCCGATGTAGAGAGGGCGCGAGATGGCAAGAGAGCTTTGCGGATATAGCATAGGTATGTACTCGGTAGAAACCGAACAACCCAGGCAGAAGACCGAAAACAATGGCAGTTAGTGTAACCTGATGGTGGACACAACAAGATTGACCTCGGATGCA